CAGCCAATCAATGATTCTCTCTCATTGATGTTTCTCACTATCTCTCCATTTGTCTTCCTCTCTGAAATCAATAAAAAAAAAATTTAGAGAAACCATAGGCAGCAAAATATCAGACATAAGTTGTAGTAATATCTTTACCAATATAGCTCCTGGGACAATGGAGACTAAGGAGAAAATAAACAAATGGGAATACATCAAAATAAAAAGCTTCTGCACAGCAAAAGAAACCATCAACAAAACAAGAGAGTCCATCGCATGGGAAAACATATTTGCCAATGTTATCTCCGACAAGAGTTTAATCTCCAAAATTTACAGAGAACGCATACAACTTAACATAAGGAAGATAAATAATACAATTTTTTAAAAAATGGGCAAAGGACCTAAATAGACATTTTTTGAAAGTGGACATACTTATTAAAACATGCTCAAAGTCACTAATCATCCAATAGATGCAAGTCAAAATGACATTCAGGTACCATCTCACACCTGTCAGAATGGCTATTATCAACAAATCAATGAAGAACAAATGCTGGTAAGGATGCAGAGAAAAAGGAACCCTAGTGCATTGCTAGTGGGAATGCAGACTGGTGCAGCCACTGTGGAGAACAGTATGGTGTTTCCTCAAAAAATTAAAAATGGAACTCCCATTTGACCCAGTAATCCCACTTCTAAGTATGCATGTATATTCTAAGAAAACAGAAACACCAGTCTGAAAGGATATATGCACCCCTATGTTCTTAGCACCACAATTTACCATAGTTAAGATTTGGAAACAGCCTAGGTGCCCATCAGCAGGTAAATGGATTTAAAACAACTGTAGCACATCTACACAATGGAATACTACACTAGTGTAAAAAAGGAAGAACTCTTACCATTGCAATAACATGTTTGGACCTGGAGAGCATTATGCTAAGAAAAATAAGCCAGCCAGAGAAAGATAAATATCACATGATCTCACTCATTTATGGAATCTAATGAACAACATAACCTGATGAACAAAAGTATATCCAAAGACATGGAAGCAACGAACAAACCATCAAACCTCAGAAGGAAGGCAGGGAGAGGTTTGGAGGGGGTAGCGGTGGGGGTGAGAGATCAACCAAAGGACTGTCATGCATGCATATAAGCATAATCAGTGGACACAGACAGTAGGGGGGTGAGGGCATGTGCTGGGAGTGGAAGTGGATGGGGAGAGGTCAATAGGGGAAAAGGAGAAATATGTAATACTTTAAACAATAAAAAATTAATAAAATAAAAAAGGACTAAAGCAACAGTCTATATTGACAACCTGTTAGAAGAGAGACGCCTCCCCTATCTACAATTCATAAAATCCTTGACATCAGAGACATGCACAACTAGTCAATCGAAATGAATCAGTTCTCCTTCCCCCAAATCAAAAACACACGTACAAGGGTGGGTGGGGGGGGGAATCAAACAGGGAATTTTAATCTTTGTCAGGTTTCAGTGAACTGACTACAACTAAAATAATTATCAAACCACAAGTAAAACTAAATGAAACTATAATGTTAAATGGACCAAAACACTTTAGAGAAATCTTCAAAATCTGTAAACCCATCTTACCTGACATGAATCTCTGTAATTCTTATTGGGTGTTTTGAAAAAAAAAAATTTTTTTTTTAATAAATTGGGAAATACCAGAAAATGGTCCATTTGCACAACTAGTCTTAGCAAATTGATTTTCAGAGAAGTGGCTTTCAGAGAATTAAGTTTCCCTGCAATGCCCGAAAGCCAGTTTGGCCACCCAGAGGCTTCTTGCACACTTTCTAATTCCTCCTCGTGTCCTAGTCGGGGGTAGGGCTGCTGTGTGGACCATGTGAGGGAGTAGAACCCAGCTCAGCCCTCACAGTCTTCAAGGAAGTTTGGATTCAACTTTGAAACCCGTTCTGTATATCTCCTGCAGAATTAGGTGTGACAAGAGTCACTGAAACTCAGAATATTCTGCCCTGTGGGTCCCCAGCAACCTCCTTCCCCCAACACCTCCCCCCAGGGCCACTTCCTCCAGGGGCAGGGCCACTAGGTGACGGAGGGGCACTGGAGGGAACAGCCTCCAGCCCTCATTCCATCCAGGTCCTTATCTCAATCAGGACCTCAGTGAGTCACTTCCTCTCCCAAGCCCTCAGAGGCTCTTCCTGTTCTCCTGGGCAATCAATAAAGAGAAGTGTCTGCTGCTATCTTCTTCTTCTTCATCTCTTCTTCTTCTTCTTCTTCTTCTTCTTCTTCTTCTTCTTCTTTTTTAATATATTTTATTGATTTTTTACAGAGAGGAAGAGAGAGGAATAGAGAGTTAGAAACATCGATGAGAGAGAATCATCGATCAGCTGCCTCTTGCACACCCCCTACCGGGGATGCACCCCCTACCGGGGATGTGCCCGCAACCAAGGTACATGCCCTTGACTGGAATCAAACCTAGGACCTTTCAGTCTGCAGACCGAGGCTCTATCCACTGAGCCGAACCGGTTCCGGCGCTGCTGCTTTCTTCTTGCCTTGAGGCCCCTTCAAGCCCTTTTCAGGAAGAGCTCATCCGTGTCAAACATCCAGTCTCTCATACCAACCAAGTCTCCTACATCCTGGACTGCCGATGGCTTCATTTCTCTACTTCCCTCTAAGTTCTCATCTCCCATGTACTGTGTGCATTATTTTTAGTGTAACATATGTTAGACATACAACAACATGGAGAATAAAACAGCTAGTTTCCATGTAGCGGTCAGGCAGCCTAAGAAACAGAACCTGAAGGCATCAATTGAGGACCCCTGTCCTCCCACTCCCAGGAAACATCAGTCCTTAACTTGGAGTTCACTGTTCTCATGTATGAGCCACATATTTCTTCCAAGTCAGAAAAAAAAAGCTTTTTTTCTTTTCTTTTCTTTTCTTTTTTTTATTTTTTTCCAGAAAAGAAAATCCATTTTATACTCCCCAGACTTGAGCAGTTACTTGTTCTCAGATATTTGGATCTCACAGACCAGTAAAATGTCTAAATTTATTTTGGGCACTTGTAGGACTCTCAGAATAAGAGCATGAAAAAGAACCTCACAAAACTACCATCTGCTATTACAGTAGCTTTATGAAGGAAAGAACATTTAACATGGAAAATATAGAAAGAACATAGCCTTGGATTTTAAAAACTGAATGCATTTAGATTAGTTTAAAAACTGAATAGATTTAGGTTTTTTCTTCTCTCGTTTTCACGTGGAGCCTGAAAAACTTCATCTTAGACGTGCTTGGCATTTAGGAATCACTAATTCAGAAACTCGCTGTGACCTATGTCCCTCAGAGGTTGGGGACTTTCTGGAGGAAACCACCCACCCCTCCTCCGATCATCAAGGTAGGCCTGGGTCTGCCTCTACACCTTTTCCTTATCTCTCAGTCTTTGTCTACAAGTCTTTGTCTCCAGATAAGATCCCACACCTTCCTCCCACCCTCAGAGCCCTTAGGGACCTCTGAATTCCCTCCCTTCTTTCACAGTTCCCCAGCCCACAATCCTCAAGCCTTCCCTCACTGTGTCCAACCGCAGGCGGAACTCTGGGAGGCACATGGCCAAATCTAAGGACAGGGAGACCGGAGTGGCCCACTGGAAATGTCAAATGGGGGAGAATAAAAATGTCGATGATGCTCCCATCCCCACCACAAGTGTTCAAATGATGGGGTGGGTGGTGCAGGGCCTGGTGTCAGTGTTTTGCAATAACCCCCAAGGAGCCAAAACCGGTTTTGCTCAGTGGTAGAGCTTTGGTCTGCAGACTGAAAGGTCCCGGGTTCGATTCTGGTCAAGGGCATGTACCTTGGTTGCAGGCACATCCCCGGTAGGGGGTGTGCAAGAGACAGCTGGTTGGTGTGTCTCTCTCATTGACGTTTCTAGCTTTTTATCTCTCTCCCTTCCACTCTGTAAAAAATCAATAAAATATATTTTAAAAAATAACCCCCAAGGAAAGCTGGCTCTGCCTCTCCCCACCCTGAGCTGGAACCACCAGCACTAGGACAAGATAAAGTCAATACCTCAGACAGTTTGGACTAAAATTTTATTCAAAAACTAAAGAAAAACTCATTTCATGAAGTGGCTACCAGAAGCCCATCATTAAATGGTACCCACAGCTGGTTGCAGAAAATGCTGACTGCTCCCTTTAACCCCCTGGACCTCAGTTTCCTCATGTGCAAGATGAGTTCAGATTAGACTGGCTCTGAGAACCAGGACAAGGGAGCCTCAGAAATTCAGAGCTGTGACAAGCAGCCTCAAAATGGGTCTAATTTTGGAAAACTACACAATAATACTATAAACCCAAGTTCAAATGGTGGCTCTCTTGACATCAGGATGGGTCATGTAGCTGCCATCAGGCCCTCATCTCCTATCTCTCTGACTCTTCCCAGCTCCACAGCCTGGAGGCAATCTCAGAGACCCCAACTCAAAAGGGGCTGTGAAGAAACAAGAGTGAGGAGCTGGGTCCTGGGCTGGGGGGTGGGGGTCGGGGAAGTAAACTTCCCATAGATGGTTGGCTCTCAGCTTGGAAACACCCTAGGCCCTGGGACCTAGGACAAGCAGCCCCATCTCAAGTTGCACAATTCCTTTGCCCATCGCAGCACCTCTGTCCCTCCTTCCCCACGCTCCTGCCTTCATTCCAGTGAGGCCACCTCCACGTTGTGGTTTTCAAATCTCCACAACTCTGCATCTCAAATAAGGACACACACACATCTTAAAAAATAATTTGAATCTAAACAACAGTTGGCTGTATTCAAAGCATGGTCAACTTTATTGTTTGTGCTGGAAGCAATGTCCCAGTTCTGGGGTCTATGCTCTGACCTTCACCCAGAAGCTCAGGCCTCTTCCACCCCTTACCACACCCAGACCATGAAAGAGAGGAACTGGCAGCCATCTGGCCTGTTCAGGTTGGTTCTCCGACTGGGAACCAGTGAAAGGGGTGGAGGTTCAAAAGAATCCCACATGCCACCCTTTGGGACCCTTCAAACATTCAAGCACCAGTGCACCACCCTTGGAGCTCACATTCCTTTTATTTGGATCACCACTTGGCTTTGGGATTCCTCACAACAGCCCTGTGAGGTAGGGAACATCCCTATTCACAGGAGAAGCCCTAACACCCCCCCCCCCCCCCCAGGCACAGAGGGTATCCCAACAGCGCAGAACCCAAGCCCAGAGAGGCAAGTGCCCCACCACCCAGACCCCCTCTGTGTCCCCAGGGCACAAGCAGGGGCCGCAGAACCAGAGTCAAGCAGAGGAGACACTGAATGGGGCCTCACTTCTGGTTGAGCATTCGTGAGAACTCCTCATAGTTCACCCGGCCATCCTTGTCCACATCCGCCTCCTGGATCATGGCCTCCAGGTCCTTCTGGGAGAGCTCCTGCCCCACCTGGGCCATGGCCTGCTTGAGCTCATCTATGGTGATGTGGCCATCGCCGTTCAGGTCGAAGGCTCGGAAGATCATCTTTAGGTCCTGCTCGCCACCCCAGGACTTCATCCTCTTCACCATCTCGTTCAGGAACTCCTCGAAGCTGATGGCACCGTCGCCATCAGTGTCCACCCGGGCGATGAGCTCCTTCAGCTCGGCCTCCGACGGGTTCTGGCCCAGGGATTTCATGACGGCACCCAGCTCCTCCACGTTGATTTTGCCATCCCCGTCCGTGTCGAACCTGGTGAAGGCTGCCTTGAACTCAGCCACCTGCTCTTTAGACAGATCCTCCGCCATGTTGCTTGCTGCCAACCAGTTCAATGGGCTCCTGTCAAAACGGGGGACCAGTGGCTGGGATGAGCTGTGTCTGTGTGAAGGCAGAGCTCAGGCGGCAGCCTTGCCATGGGGTGGGAACCCCTCCTTTTCTGCTGTCGGAGCAAAGGGAGGAGGCAGGCTCCCCACCCACCCCACATCCTCAGGCAAAATCCTCCTCCCAAGAGGGACAGATGAGCTACAGACAAGAAATGCAGGAATTGGAGCGGCAGGGCCCGCCCTGGAGAGGCTGGGGGAGCTACCTGAGGCCATGGGCCTGCCAGCTTCTCCTGACCCAGAAGCTTTTTGTCAGGCGACTCTCACAGAGACCCCTCACCAAGCTGAGGGGTCAGGACAGCCTTCCCAGTTTATAGAGCCTGAGGCAGTCAAGGGCAAGGGAGCCTTGTCAGTGGGTACAGCTGCCCTGAAGGAGTGGATCCCTGTGGCCAGGATTCCTGTTGCCCTCTCTTGGGGCTGTTGTCCCTCTCTTGTCCCCTAAGTCTTGTCCTGTGGGGGCAGGTGGAGCTAGGATTGAGTGGAATTTTACTAGGGTGGAACCATGGTATCCTCAAATGTCCAAGGCTGTCAACAATCCATAGGTGGAGGAGGTGGCCAACTGCCTGTAGCTTTGAGAAAGCGAGGAGCTGGGTGGCATTTGGAACCTGGCATGCAGGGGATGCTGAGAATCGTTTATTAAAGGAATGTTTCCAGTGTGACTTCAGAGGTGAGGAAAGGCTTCCTGTCCCTGTAGAATCTTTCTCTGACTTGATTCATTCTATCATTAAGTCTAAGTAAGAATTGGTTGCTTGTTTACATTCACAGGGGAATCTTGCCTGAGAGCCATGGGGAGACCAGAGAGCAGTGGGTGGCCAAGCAGGCCAGCCCCTGAAGATGCTCAGGGATAGACGAACGTACAAGGGATGACGGAAATGCAAACATGGCCAAGCTTGCAGGTTTACTAAGAGTCAGCCCTAAGCTCAGAACCCCAGTCTGGGAATCTCCCCAGCCCACAGTCTGGTCTGTTCTTTGGAAGGAAATCCCACCGCTCTGAGTAGCAGAGTTTAGACCAAGAGCTTGGCCCTTGGGGATCGTCCCTAAATTTTTAGGTAGTGAGACCCGAGGCTATAAAGGGACATTTGCCTTGGAGTCTCAAGCAAAACTACACTTGACCCCTATAAATTCCCGTGACCCTCCCCACCCCTGCCTGTGTGTAAGGAATAAACTCCTTCCTCCTCCAACTGAGACATGTGATCAATTCCATCTCTCTCTCTGGTTCAGCCCATAAAACACACTGAGGATTCTCTCCTTCCCTATGGGGCAGCCAGCCGAGCACCTTCCACCCCTCAGCGCTGCACACCCACCCCAGCCCACACCAAGTCCAGGGGACCCAGATGGAGAGAGACACCAGGGAAATGTTCTAGTTGCATAGCTCCTTTTATAAAGACATCTAGAAGAAGCATTGCTCTTTCATTTGTGCTGAAGTCATAATACTGATGCCTTAATCCTTATTGAGCAACTAATCTCTCATTGAAACTGACAATCAGTATCGGTTGGAGCATGTGGGTCCACCTAAGACACCAGGACAGGGAAGCTCCTGTTCCGCAGGCAACAAGGGAAGGGTGGAGCTCCTAATAACTGGAGCAGCCCAGCTCCTTTATTTATTTTTCTAAGACTATTTGAAGATACACATCTATACTTTAAATGTCCTTTTCTTTCATCTTATTGGCAGGACTTTTGATAATTATTTCCTTGTTTTCCCTTGGTATAAAATAACACGTGGTAAGGCAAGAGAGAGACTTAGGTTCTTGGTTCAAGCTCCATATCTGATTTGGGGACTTAACTTGGGTCTTTGGGTATCTTCACCTATAAAATAGGATAATAAGTCTACCATATCTGATCAGGGCACTTAGGATCAAAGGTCAAAGTACTTTGATCATCAGAAGGTGTTATTATTCTGCAACAAATCTCACGTGTAGTCATATGCTGGCTCGTGTTTGATGTAAACCAACACTCCAGAAAATATCCACTTAAAAGGGACCTCACTCTCAATTTTGTTATTGTACCTTTCTTGGTTGAACAGATATATTAAACTTGTCTGCCTGGAGTATCAAGCAGCCCATGGCTCTGAACTCTGGTCAGCTTTTGGAAGTCAGCCCTAACAGATGCAGAGGCTTCTGTTTAGAAAACTCAGCTAGCCCCGGCCAATGTGGCTCAGTGGTTGAGCATTGATCTATGAGCCAGGAGGTCACAGTTGGATTCCCAGTCAGTATACATGCCTGGGTTGTGGGCTCCATCCCCAGTATGGATTGTGCAGTAGGCAGCCGATCAATGATTCTCTCTTTATCATTGGTGTTTCTATCTCTTTCTCTGTCTCCCCTCCTCTCTGAAATCAATAAAAACATATTAAAAAAAAAAAAAAAAGAAGAAGAGAAAGATCATATATCTAAGAGGACAATGACCATTATTCATGTTACACCTCATTCCCTCCACATAGAGACGGAAGCTTCAGGAGATAAAGTGCTATGCCCAAGGCCACCCAGAATTTGGAGAGAGAGCCAGACTTCTGGCTGAGTATGTCTTCATCCTCAGTCTGTCATTTTGGGGCCTACTTCCTCTCTAAGGCACTCTCTTCTCTTTTCAGAGAAGGAATCAACACTGAAATCATTTCTTCACCCCTTTCCACTTGCTCAGCCTCCTGACTGACCAATAGCACAGGGCATCTGACAGCCAACCCCAATTAAACTTGATGGAGCCCCTTTCTTCCTCTGCTGGTTTAATTCACAGTGGCCTGGGTGCAGAGCCCAGCTCCTTGGAGGGAGTGGGAGAGAAATGCCTCATATTGATGGCACCTTCACAGCCAAAGTGCATCCATAGGCCTGCGAGGCTCCCTGCATGTGATGGGAGTGAGGGTGTACCTGTCGCAGGAGCCTGAGGCTGGGGAGATTGCCCTTTGCTTGGCCCACAGCTGAGCCCCCTAGGGCCATATAAGAAGCATGAACTGTCTCAATGGGCACAGAATAACCACACTTGATGGGAGTCAGTTTTGCTAAAGGAAACCAATGAAGATGTGGTTTGTCAGAGAGGAGAGAAGTGGGAAAGCTCTGAGCCTTTTCAGTGTCCCTGTTGGAGGTCAAGTTTCATGCCCAGGACTCATTCCCTCTCCTGCCCCCTCTCAGTGTGTCTCCTTGTTGTCAAGAAAACCCCGACTCTTCCTAGTGGGAACAGCCATGGTCCTGGAGGAGAAATAGGTCACCTTCATTGAGGAGAGTTGAAACCTCTGAGGATGTTACAGGAAGGAGCAAGGGGTGTTGTCACTGTCAGACTGTGCGGGGTGCAGTAGCCACATGCTCGTGTGTGTGTGTGTGTGTGTGTGTGTGTGTGTGTTGGGAGGGGGAGTAGAGGGTGGTTGTCCTTTCTTTCAGATGTTTAGAACCAATGCTGAAGCCTGCTCCAGCTTTCACAGGAGCCTGGCCCCAGGAACAAAACACTCCAGCACTCGCATTACTCTTTGGCTTTGTAGACAAACTACTTGTGAGAAACCAATAAGACAGGTCTTGGAGACTCCTCTGGCTCCCCTGACTTGCTGGAACCTGCTTGTCCCTCAATCCTGAGCCAGTCTCTGGTGTTGACACCGCCCTGACCTTGCCCAGGGAGATCCCACCGCCTGGAAACAAGGAAGGAGCCCATGTGGGAATCATGTTGTGCTCTGTCATGTCTTTCTTAAGGAGTGAGCAGCAGATGGTGGGCTTCAACCCCCCATTGTGCCCGTTCCCCTAAACCTAACTCACACTCCTCCCCACAGAGGCAATACCCTGTTTGGTTTTGGGACTGGGTGGCTGTGGGGTGTGTTCCTGGCTTCCTGTGACACAGGCTATGTAGCCTGGGGCAGGTGACTTCACCTCCCCAGCATCCGAGGCCTGCATTCTAAAGGAGATAATAGTAGTGCCAGCTTTGTAAGGTGTTAAGTAGGTTAACTGAGCTTCAGAGAAAGCATTAGCTCAGTGTCCAACATCAGGTCAATACCAGTAAATAGGACCATTACTATCACTCATTTATCCATTCTCCCAAGTCTTGTTTCCTCCAAGCATCTTCCGCCTGGCCACAGGCCTAGCATTCTCGAAGCAGACCCAAATGGCTACCGAGTTCTCAGAAAGTCTACAGCCAACTTAAGCACCCAATCTCACTGATGCCAGGGACAGAGTCTGTCCTGCTCACCGAGTCATTCCTGGGCCTGCCTCAGAGCAGGAGCTCCTGGCTGTGGAGTGAATTCGCCGATGAACTTCGTTCTGCAGGAAGGATCACATCTTGAGGACTCGGAAGTTAGAGTCCACCTTTCCATTTGAGATCCCTGTGCAATCGCTGGTGTAGTTCTTGGGCTCCCAGGGGGTCACCTGGGAAAGCACAGAAGCCTGACTCCCATGGAGATTGTGTTCAAAGAGACACATCACGTGTCTGTGTTCCGGGGATCATGTGTTTGATTGCTCTGCCCTCAGAATGGGTTGCTGGCGCGGGCTGCTGTGTATTCAGTGCCCACAATTTGCCCAGACTTGTTGGGGTGGTTGGCAAGAACACTCCTTCCCCCTCTTGTTTGGTCAATGACACACCTGGGAACTTGGCAGGACACGCACTACTCTCTGTCCCAGACCCAGGGCCTACTCACAGTTCACACACATGCCTGGTCCCAGGGACAATGCGCTGGTTATCCTGCTCTTGCTCTTCTGTAAGAAGTGCTTTGAGCCAAGTGTTTTTCCAGATAACTGAAACTGACCCCTTTAACTACCAAGCATGTTAAGTTTAACCACCTTCACTTGCAATCTCTCTAAGAGTGTGCTTTATGTTTTATTCCTCGCCATTTTAAACAAGATGGGTGGGAATATAATCCCCGTGGTTAGAAATTCGCAATATGGCAGCAGTCTTGTCGTTATGTAGCACTGCCCATGCAGGTATGCCTGCCAGGCACGGACAGCCCCAGCTTGCTGCTAATTTTCAAGTTGATCCTTCCCGCCAGTGTCTCCTGGTCAGCTGCTGAGCTTCCATTAAAAGGAAGCTTCATTGCACAGCTATTACTGACATAAGTGGAGGCAGAACCCAAAGTTGTAAATCAGC